AAGAGCGTAAAAATGTTGCTGCCGTACGAATCAAGTTCGCTTTATCTTAGAATCACGAGGTAAGCATATCATTTCATTTGAGACTGAGGCAACCCCTTGGGAGAAAAAATAAACGTTTAACCTCATGATACGTCACTTGATCATCACTGAGATTATCATCAAGACTTATGAAATACTAAATATATCTGTTGGTTTGTATTTTGCTAGATTTTTTGTGCTAGATCATATAGTGTCAGGTTGTCATGTTGAAATGTTGTCTGTGTTGGATTCAAAACCAGCGTACACAACATATCTTTCTATTCCTTTGAAAAACTTCTATCGTCAAATTCCATTTGATGCTTTGTCGTTTTGAATGACAACTTTCAGTATTTTTCATTCTTGTAGCTAGACCAAATGAATTGTTTGAAATCAAATTTTGTTAATATTAGAAAGATGCGTGAGTTCTAGTTTGATAGTATTTATGTAAATCCTTAAGGCATCAGATCTTTTAGCAAATTTTGTAAAAATTCCAAAAGGAATTGCAATTGCACCCCTTTGTTACCAGAAGCAGAATTTATTCAAAAATCTCTATATGACAAGGAGCAAACACTTGCTGTGGCCTTCAATTAACTCGACTTTTAGCTTAACTTTACTCGATGACATTCTATAAATTAAAAAAATTTACTTTCATTTATATTTGTACTCAGTTTACCCCAGTGAAATTGAAATAAAAGACACAACCTAGACTAGCACATCTGTTTCATATTTTCATATTGTCTAGAAAAAGACTAATGGTAACCGAAGAACTTTATGATAAATACAATAACTTTTCAATCAACAACTTCCCATGCTCATGTAGCAATATACCGATATCAACTGCATATGTGGTTTATATCTCTCAGTTGATTCGATACGCAAGATCATGTTCTACTTATGGACAATTTCTAAAACGAGGTAAAACATTGACAAACAAGTTGATGAGACAAGAATATTGCCCTATATCGGTACACCATGTTTACAAGCAAAGCGATACCCCAGAACTCAAATTTCTTTGTAATATCTTTATGATTTTAAAATTTAAATTAACTTAATAATATAAGACGTCGGCAATCATCTGCGATAAAATTCAGTGCAAGAATAAGTCAACTCTGGTAAATCCATTTTCTCCAAATAAAAATAAATAGAAAAATACTTGTGTGTAGATTGTGTAGAGAACATCGTCAACATTTGAACTGATTTAAAACTATATTTATATCTTTAAAAAAAATTTACAGAAGAAGAGTAAGAGCAACTTACCTGTCCAAAAATGATGAGTTTGATTAACAGATTGACTGTGAAAAATCGATAATTTGATTGTGTTAGATAGCATCCGATCCCACTTATGATGTTTTAAGTCCGTGAACACTAGACTCCTGATTTGTTTTGTTTGAATCAATTAACTTAGCTTAAATACTGTTTGTTATTTCCATTGTTATCTAGATCTTAAGCTTAAATTAAATTAAATTTAATTTAATTTGTGCTTTAGATCCTCAAGAGACTACCTAAATATCAGTATATCACCTCAAATATCACTGTTTTACTGATAAATCCGGTGAACAATTGGAATTCTATAGAAGGAAAAACTATTTGGATTTACTAGTAAACAGGAAATAAAAAGAAAAGGGAAAGTTTACAACCCAGACCCAATTTTGTGATTCTAGGAAAAATATTGACATACATGTACAAAGTATTTTTCTGAACTATTATTGCAATATAAAAACAGGAAGTTAATTTCATTGAAATATGGGGATTCTCTTTAAGTATATAAATATTGTTTGAGGAAATACTTTATAAGTACTTATAATAGTCTTACATGTAAGCCATCTTCAGTTCATATTGGATAAAATTTCAAGTTTTCAGGGAATATGCTTAGAAATAGTTAGAACGATGAATTCTGAAGTATATATTATACAATTATTGACTTTTGATGAGGTCTACTCGTGACTATACAGACCTGGTCAGGTATTGGTTGACGGAGGCCGAAGGCCGAGGTTAACCAATACCTGACCAGGTCTGTATAGTCACGAGTAGACCGAATTCAAAAGTCAATAACCGTTTTATTAAATGATCAGGAATTTTACGACACTTTTACACATTTCATTCTTGTCTCCATCAAATAAAACACCCGTAATATATAATTGTCGCCACTTATCTGATTAACAACTACAGCGTTGTACTTAAAAATTGAAAAAAAGTATTATAAAACAATAAATACTCAACCATTTACTTTCAAAAGTTTTTTTTATCTCCTTGGTAATGTCGTCTGACATGTTTACATTCACACCGACACATGCTTTGAAACACGCAATCTGATTGGTCGAAAAAGCTGTAAGCAAATCTATGGTTGGCTAAGAGGGAAAACCCAAATAAACCTCCCAGAACGTCATTTGAGGTGAACTCACTCTGAGGTACACCCCAGTAAATGACGTCTAGATCAAACAGAGAGCACCAAAATTCCTTATCATTTAATAAATAATAGTATTGTACGCGTCCTCTCTGTTATAACCATTCTAGGTTTAAAACATTTGACGTTTAACTCTTGGTTGTAATTGTCAATTGTTAAACTCCAGTTTGTTTTGATATTTCCTTCTAAATTCTCCCCCTGTGATAATTTCTGAAGTAAATCATTTGTGATTTTTATAATGAAAACTTTATCATGTCTCTTAAGTATCGAAATCCCTAACTAATGAAAACCATAAATATTGTATGTTTATAAAACTTATAAAACCCAAGAACCAAACTGTTTGCCTTAGGTCATAAGGCCGAAGAGACAGTTCGATCCGAGGGTCAACAAAACGCATTTTGCCCAAGAACATAGTCAAGAAATCTTTTATTATACCTTTCATTTAAATTTTTTTTTAAATACGTGTACTATTGCACTGTTTTCGGTGATGTAACCTCAGGTCCGTCACTATTGAACATCAACGAATGAAAATGATATTAAACGCCGCCCATTCTGTGGCGTAAACTGTACAACATCTCATTGACTGATCCAGTGTCTCATTCAGGGGTCAAACATCGATTTTTTTTATGCCCGCTTAGCAAATCAATAGTTATGTTAGACGTTTTTCTTGTATATTTGAACAGGAACAAAGATGTCGGTTCACTTTTTGCATCAAATGGCCCTGTAGATATACCAATTAATTGATCAAACTTGATTTTCTATTTGAAGCATTAAAATAAAATAGAGACTTGGTGCTTTCATATCCTATTTAAAAAAGTCTCCTCAAAGCCCTTATGAAATTGCAATGTTCTTGAATTGTTAGGTAAACAGGTATAATTGAGTGTTTTCAGTGAAGAAAAATAATATGAGCGCACCCTCTGATCTAAAAAATAAAACATGTCTATGAATCTTCAGATACAGTTCTATCATTTACTAGTTGCATATTTTAGATCAGAGGTTGCGCTCTACATCAAATGTCAAAAAATAACTTTAAAATTGTCCGTTTTTTTTTTTTAGACTTTTTCGGAATATGAAGAAATTGAAGCATTTAGTGATGTCACAATGCATTAACTAGCCAGAAAATGACGTCATTTTATAGGATAGCAGTCACCAAAAACCTAAGTGATATTTTAATGCATTCTTAAGTTAACTAAAACTTTGCAGTTTCAGATTTTCATAAATTCACAGGGCCAAATAAGGCGGAAGTGAACCTTGTTCTTTTGAAAGGTATAACAATATACAATGTCTTTCTTGAATACAGATAGTTGCTTTAACTTAGGAAAAGGTGCAAATCTTGAATATACTTGAAATATTGTACAAAATCTACTTACATGATAGTTAAGAGTTGCATTCAACCTCGGTATTGTAAATTTCTTCCTTGAAAAATAAACAACAGGAAATTTATTTTAAACTAAGGAAATACCTCATTGCACGAGGTTTACTAAAAGGTCATGCAAAAATTATGTTATATTATTATACTTAGGATAATCTAGTATTTGAATTAATGATTGAGTGTATGTATCACTGAAAGAAAACAGATGAATTAACAAAGCAGCAATGTGTGTTAGTAAAATACCCAGACCTGCTGGGTAAAGCTGAGATCAAAAACCTGGATGTAGGGTTCGTGATCGATGCCGTACTATAAATAGCAAAGGTACAGTATAGAAAAGTAAAAAAAGGCGTCAAAGCACATGCTTTCGTTGAAACAATATAGTACCATTGAGAGACGATATATTTTTGCACTCAGTAAAAATGGACAATTTGTTAATTTTTGTCATTTTGAAATGCCCCCTCTGGTAAAAATACGGTAGAATTTTGAGTTTCTTACACATAATGTACACAATAGTATAACTCATTATATTTAATAGTTTAAACAAAAAATCTATTGTGGTATTTGTATAATTTGCTTTTAAGTGCTAAAACTTGGCATTTTTCTTTATAATCCTATAGTACTTTGAGACGGTCCCTAACAATACCTGGACTTTAGATTTTCACCAAACTTGGCATGTACACTGAAGTTAATGTAAGTTATATATGGTATAAAAATAAAGAGTTTCGCTATTGTAGTTTTCACACAATAATACCCAAGTCGACCCCCTTAAACGTAGTGGGCTTAAATACAAAACATTAGCGTTTTATATATAAACACTGATATTTAAATCGGTGTTCAATAAACAGGGTGTTTAAGGGGATGAAGGATGTATGGTCACGTGACTCAGTTGATTTACGTCATAACCTCTGATAAAATATGTACAAAACGAGATTGAAACCACAGTACTTGTATAATTTTTTTGACTGTTTAATTGTTTGCGTTCACCATCTAGTATAAAAATATCTGAAAACATTCAAAATTTCTTGCAAATAGTATCAAATTACGGAATAGATTAATCCACTCTGCCGTTTCCCTACTCTGCGCGTCCAGTGCGTCTTTGATGTCATAGTGGATCTCTTAGTTCAGTAAGATCATACACGGTTAAAATGGGTAGTATAAAATCATAAAAACGGGCCATAATATGTACATGGTAGGGGATTTTGTAAATTTCAGAACGCAAAAAATATTTTTACATGGTTGTTGACGGAAAAGTTCTGTGGGTTTATCTTATTTCGCTTATTTCAGGAATGTGTGACGTCATAGTTGGGTTTTCCCGTACTCGAGAAATGTAAACATGACACGTTTTTCTCATGATCATGTCTCGTTTAACTTTGCCCCGTGCAATATTGAGCTCAGCTTCACCAATCGATATTTTTACAGTTAATCAATACAACGACGAACTTGAACTTCGACGTAAATTTTTAAATATTGAATGATAGGATTTTTTGCAAGTTAATTTTTTTTATTGTTTAAGTTTATATATTTAACTTATAATTTTTCGAATGTGATTGCTGTAAATTTTTAGGTTCTATTTGTTTTACATATATTGCTTGTACAGCGCCTTAGAGTTTAATATATAGGGCGCTTTATAAATGTTTAATAATAATAATAATAACTAGAAACTCTTGTTGCTACAGCAACAAAGAAGGTCTTCCGTTCTCCTCTATTTATCTGTATGAAGGATGTTTTTCTATTTAAAGCAGCTTGGTCCGATTCTAATCTCAATATTCGTTTTTCTTCTTGAAAAATAATTGTCCATAAATTGTTTCAACTTTTGACAAATTATATCCCCAAAGTCTTTTTCTTTTAAAAGATATCAAAATTCAAAAGTTAAACAAATAATTTTTGTTAGGTCGCACAAAAGATAATCCTATGTTGATTATTGTTGATATCGCGTGAAATCACCTTCGAAAATTACATGTTTTTCTCATGAAGAACAAACCCGAGCATTTTTTTTTCACAACAAAGTACATTTATTACCTGTACACGGACATAATTTAGCTCCTTTAAAAATCATTTAAGATATCTGATTTCCCTTTATTCTTTAAATATGCATATTAATATAGAAATTAATATGGATTATATTCAATTAATTTCTAAATTTTGAAAAAAAAATGTATTATGACTAAGGCTTCTACTAATAGAGAAACAAATACTCGGGTTTGAATTGTCTTAATTATTAGATATATCCGATAAACTTATTTTTTTCAAAATTGACTTCACAACAAATCTTAACTTCCGTCAAGAACTACTGTTAGTCAGTAAGGTTTTTGATCTGCGTTTTCCATGTAAGGATTGTTGTAATTAACTATTTAATCAATCTTACAATTTATTTTTATATATTATCTATGTAATGACGTACTTTTATTGTGTAAGATAATATGTGCCTGTTTCGGTTTAAGCGGCTTTAAAGAAAAAGACATACATGTAATAATCAATCAATAAATAGAGAAAATGCAAAAAGAAAAATAATTCCTCCAGCTGGGCTCGAACATATAATCCTCTGTTTGCAAGTCAGACACGCTAACCACTGAGCCATCAAGTTCTACGCCAGATAACGTATTTTGTAAACTTAATATTCTAAGGAGGAAGGAAATAGTTTCGTAGTAAAGTCCCGGTCAAATTTCTTAAAAAATTGAGATATTCCCTGTTTGAGGTGATATTTGATGTAGAAAAATGATTGGAATAATTATAGGAGATGTTTGAAGTGAATCAAAGTGCTTGCTGAAACATATAGGTATTACTATTACACTTAGCATATACAGAGCTGTAAATGCGAAACTAATACACGTGGTCAGTTGCAGAGGAAAATCAGCTAAAAAGCCGTAGGCCTTAGAAGAATGTGTGTTTCTCAGAGGGAAGGTACTAAATGATTCCATTTCAATTGGTGAATTTTCTTTAGGGCATAGATTGAGTTACAGAATACTGGGTGTGTTACCCTGCTCGGAAAAACAAACCAAAATCAGCGTAGTCCCTTGGTGCATTTTTGTATATGTGCAATCTAATAGGCAGATTACATGTAATTTGTTGACATTATTTGTGAGTCATGGGTATTTTCTCATCTCCACATCATAGAAAGCGAGATAACTATAATTTATCTAATCTAAATAAATTGCGTGGAAATTGATTTGATAGGAAAAAATCGCTATTTCCAAGATTCATTAAATTAATATTCAATGTAAATAAAATTGAAATAAACTCTACATACAAAGGAGATCAAGAATACTTGGTATTATTATTTCGTATTTGAGCAGGAGAATCGAATGATATTGACAAAAAGTGAAGAAATACCAAATACAATTTTTAATTAATTTTCATGCTCATCAGCACCTAGATTTCAGACAGAAAAAGAATGTAGTTGTTGCCGATACTCATTAGAATTTCATGATATACTTCAGAGACTCACTGTTAAACACTCAGGACACTTTCTTTGATGTGTCTTCTACTGCAATCCTTAAATTTCATGTCGATCTGTGGCGTCTTTTGAACTGTAGAATTTTTTTCTAGATTCCTATTGATTTAAAAAAAAAGAAAAAAAGGGGGGGGGGATATAAGCATTTATTAAAGTGAGAGATGTAAACACCTCCAAGGACTCAAGCTTGATTGTGACCTTTGGGTCAATGGGGTCAAAGGTCAAGGTCATTTATCAAGGTCAAGGTCATCCAAAGCCTTTTAAAACTCGACTTTAACACTTGAAGCTGTATCAAGCTAAATATAATAAAAAAAAATAACTGTTGGGTAAGGGTCAAGGTCAAACATCAAACCCAAAGGTCATGGTCATGTTGCATATATAAGCAATTTAAATACTTTTCCAATGACCTTGACCTTTTGACCCTCGTGTAGTTCTTTTTCTTATAATTGGAAGTTTTCGTTGTTTTTATTTATTTTTTTTTAATTTTTGGTGGAGCTGACATATTTCAAAACTTTTAATCAGGTGCAATAAAGTAATGGAAAAAAAATTGGAAAGAAAAAAAGTTGGAATTTTTGATTTTTCAAATCACATCCTGTGACGACTGGAAGTAAAGGCGGAGACATTTATCCCTATATCTGTTGTTCTCTCTTCAAGGTTTAATATTCATATAAGTTTAGTGTCTTGATGTGTTACCATAACCAAGATCTGGCTATGTTAACTACTCAGTTTGAGGACAGGAAATCATGAGACCGGAAGTCAATTTTTAACAGATAGTAGTAGTTACTCTAGACATTTGCAATCTGAATAACATGTTCTAAAATCATTTCAAATACTCTTTCTAAAAGATATTTATGGGATAGTATGATACTAAAATTATGTAGTTTTTTTCTCATAACCGGAAGTTGCCGTTTTTGTTTCTGGTGGGACGGACATATATCAGAACAACCAATCAGATGCAATATTGTGATGCCGAGAAGTATTCCAAAAAGAAAAGTTGAAATTTCTGATTTCTTTGATCACTTCCTGTGACGACCGGAAATGACGGCGAACAATCTTAAACCTTATGAGTTTCCTTACTTATCAAGATCTATTACTCATACAAGTTTTGCGTCTCCATCTCTTACCATTTCCGAGATCTCTTTGTGATAACTTTTCATATTGAGGACAGAAAATCACGCGACCGGAAGTGAATTTTACAAAGATATTTGACGTTACTGTAGACATGAGCAGTCTATATAACATATCTGAAAATCACTACAAATACTTGATGTATAAAAATATGTATGGGTATGAAAAATACTCAAATTATGTAGTTTTTCTCTTATAACCGGAAGTTGTCGTTTTTGTTTCCGGTGGGACTGATATTTTTCAAAAATACAAATGAAATTTTATAATGTGATGCAAAAAAAGTTTCATGAAAGAAAAGTTAAAAATTTTGATTTTTTGGATCACTTCCTGTGACGACCGGAAGTGACTGCGGACAATCTTATCCCAACTGAATTTGCCTACTTATCAAGATCTACCACTTATATAAGTTTGGTGTCTTAATCTCTTACCGTTTACGAGATGTAGCTATGAAAACTTCTCATTTTG